AGGTACAATTTATGCACTTGCTGTAAAAGGACTTCACCAGTAGAAAACATCCCAGATGGATTTTAGTATTTCACCAGCAGTCTCATGCCCAGACACCTGGATACGACAGGACCAGCTCTRTTCAAGCACATCAGACAGGGAAACCAGATAAAGTGATTCTTTGTAAATGCATTGTAATCTTTGCAAATCTCAATGATTAATGTAGCCTGTGATCTTCTGACAGAAAAAAAAAGAAGAAGAAAAAAGTGTTGCATGATCCCAGCACCAACAGACTCAATCTGAAACTGTATTTTAGYCACCTACACATGACAGAATTAGGCTCATTTTACACCCTTCCTTACCACATGAAAATTGCCTAGAGAATGATGACCTTTAAGTCCACAATTTATCATGGCTTCTTCCTGTAAAACAGTCTGATATTATAGCAGTTCTGTGATTTCCAAATCAATAGGTTTTAACTCGTTGCCACAATCAGCTATCCAATTTCTTTGCCCATTCTTGGCAGAGCTGGATACATGCAGCCTTTTTAAAAAAGTTAATGAATGACACTGAAAAGGTTATTTTCAATCTGACAATTTGTCTCTGCACAGAATCGACCCAGTAAACTGAAGAACCTTGAAAAAAATCATACTATGAATATGCTCAGAAAGGCACCAAAGATGATTCTTGAAAAACTTGATTTTTCCCTTTTGCAGATTTATTTTTCACAGAGAGGGAAAAACTGTGTATTTCTGGGAAAAACTGAGATTATCAAATGTATATACATACACATACATACATATATATGTATGTATATATATATATATATATACATCCTTTCTGTTCACTTTTATATGAAGGGTTGGTTTTTTTTTTCTTTTTTCCAGTTCTGCCTCAAAGAAAAATTACCTTCCCACAGTTCAGAAATTATTTCTGATATAACAAAAAAAACACTGCATAGTAATCAGTCATCATTTCTTTTTTTTTTTTCCCTTTTAATTAGGCTCCTTTCTATCCAGTAATTTAGGTTAAAAGCAGCAGTAAGGCCAAGGGGCATGTTATGAAAAGTATTCTCAAACAAAGGATATTGGCAGGTTTTAGCATGATTTCTGTTCAGCAATGTCTGATGCATTYCAGAACCAGCTGTGCCAATGAAATATGCACACCCCAAGATAAGAAGAGTTCTGAGGTAACTCCCTAAATGCAGCACCTGACATTTGCAAGACAAGTTACTGCTTTCTAGGGTAGTCAAATGATGATAACCTTGGCCATTTGACAACCTCAACAGCAGATCAGATTTTTTTAGTAATCATTTTGSAGTCTAAAAGGAAGCAAATACAATTAATAGCATACCTGGTTATCATCAGACCACAAGCTCTCTTCTTAGCTCTGAAAACATGTGTTTCTAAAAAGACAGCTCCCTACTATTCTGCAGAAGCTGCCAAATGGAAAAGCAAAAGCTTTTGCACAGAGGTGAGTCAACAAATTTCTTTCTGAGTCCTTGTCATTTACTGGACTAAAATCAGCATGTCATATTCCCGAAAAAAGTATTGACCCAGCATGTCTGAGTACTAGAAATTACTGACCATCTTCATTTGTTCAYGCAGGTGCACAAAGGCATTTTTGAACCTCAGATGAAATACTGAAAAGAGTTCTGAGGTAGYGTGGTACACCCAGGGCCTGGGCAGTCTCTCCTGCTTAGCCCTGCTTTGTTTCCAGCAGAGTATCTCCCACTGGACAAGAGAAAAATCTGGCCTCCTCTTCATGTCACTGCAGGCCTTAAAATCTCAAACAGCTTGTGGGAATAATAAACATTCAGTAAGCACATGATTATAAAGGCATTTTCCTGCCTTAGTTCTAGGTGTCAGCACTTCATCATGCATCCCTCCCACATAGAATTGTTACAGGTTTAAATTCTTTCCGCAGTTGCYACATCTTGAAAACTTATTCAAATTTATTTCCCCTTTAGATTTCATACCTAARCCAAAGTCAAAGAAAATCATTTAACCAGGAAAGTGAAAGAAATCTCAAATACAAAACTTAGAAGTTAGTTTRTATAAAGATTTCAAAGGCTTTGTTTCTTTAATTACAGGAAAATTAAACTCCATTTATTGTTGGATGAAACGTAAGAGTGAAATAAAAAGTTAGATAAGTGGCAAATTTCACAGAGAAGATTGATCACCCTAATTTGGAGGTACAGTGGTGACTGTATCTCCTCACTTTAGGAGCAAGTTAGTGATTTGGTCCATGGCAGCTCATCTCCAGCCATCTCTAAATCTTTATGTCACCAGAGGGAAAGAAGGAAGCTGCTGGCACACTCTTCGCTTCTGACACTGAGCTCTACCCACAYTGTCATCACAGAGCAGTGAAGCACTCAATCTGCCACCATGGCATCTGCCTGCCTGCACTATGCCAGATTTTGGGAGGAGGCTGAGCAAGAGAAGTGAATAATACAAACAGGTGAATAGCAAAAACAATGCTCAGTAGCAAAACCTAACACTAAGCTTAACGTGTGAGACAAAAAAAACAGATGCAGTAGAAAGTTCTAGAATTAAAATTCAACAAAAACTTTCCGTTTTCCTGATTTCGTTTTCGGTTTTCCTGATTTCAAAGGTTAAAAGATCAACACATCTGCCCTCCTTTCTCTCTTGGGACTGTGAATGAAGGTGTTTCAGTACTAACAGGTATAGGCAAGCCATGGGATGGGAGATGAACATCTAGAAAMCACTCTTCAACTTTCTACTATGCCAAGATTCCCCAGGACCTCTAGGACACCATGAGCACTCTGACTCCTGCAGAAATCTCAGCTCTGGCAACTTCACTCCAAATTACTGGCTGCACAGTCCCCCATAACACCCTCCCCTCYGTGTTTCCAGGCTTCTAAAGTACAATTATTGGCAGGAACTCACTCAGATCAAATCTTTAGGCCACCTGAATGTTACCAGTGGCAGCTGGAAATCTCAGGGCTTACAGGTTTTCAGGTTTCACAGGCACCAGGGCATCAATAACATACAGGGATATAAGCGACACATCACAACCATTTCTTTAATTAGAAATCCATTGGACAGAAGGTGGTAACTAAATGACAGAGAATGCTGGGTATCATACAGCTTAGAAACAGAAGAATTAAACTATGCACAGGGTAATATTAGCAAAGCAGAGGAGAATTGATTAGTATAATACATGAAGATAATATTCAGATGTTTCAGGACAGCCCCTGTAAGTACTTTTGTTTCCTATTACGAATAACTTGGTTATTTCTAGCTCCTCCAGCAACTGAAGAGGTTGCCAGTGGTAGCATTCATCACATTTACTCATACAATTCAACCCCAGGTCTGCTTACCAAGCAGTGCTTTAGTGTTCCCTTCAGAAAAGAAAACAATATTTGGTTTTGAGAGTGGGGAATATTCGTTCCCCATTAATGCCACATCATGGTTCTTRGACTCAACAATACAGCTGTAACCACATGACCAATCTTTTACAGAAGCCTTAGGCCCTGCTTACATCAATAAGTGTGRTATTAGAAGCTGACTTGCAGAGCAAGACCCTTGATGCTAAGAATCCAGCTTTCACTTCATGTGCATTTCTAAAGGCCATACTTCAAACAAAATCTTAAATGATCCAGTGGACTGAGCACTTGCCATGTAGCCAAGACACACAGGATGTACATCCTGAGCTTTAGCTTTATTGGAGAAGAAGCCCATTCATGCACTGACACCATCATGCAGTGTGAACTGAAGTGTGAAATGCAGGGAAGACTTAGAAGTTTATTATTTCAAGAGCATTCAACTGACCCAAGATAACAATGGCAGTGTAGGTGCACCCTTGTTCTCCCATCTGCTTCCCACACCACCATCACTGAGGGAATATTCAGCACTGAATTAAGACCTACTCAGATAAAMTGACTTTAGTTGGAGTGAGGGTTAATTCCTTTCAGGCTTCAGCACCTATCCTCATGATACTGACTGCAATATCAAAGCCTTTGCCTTCTATATGCAAAACTAAGCAACAGTCATTAAGCTACACAATCCAATTTTAATTAAGCAAATCAAGATTTCATCCACCTGCAGTCCCCTAACTGTCCTCTCTCTATATTGCAAGAGTGGTCAAATTTTAAWTGCATATGATAAAAATCCAGACTGGATAAGGAAAGTTTTCCCAATTTGTCTTTTCACTTGATGACAAAGTACTATAATCTTCCTCAGAGACTTGGTACCTCAAACAACTACTAACAAGATTAAGGACTGAGTTATGTTCACTTTTTTTTTTTTTTTTTAATTCTAATAATGAATCACAAGCATATTAACTGTTTGTTGTTGCAAGTGCCCAGAGCCAGGCTTCTATCTATGCAACAAAACTGTTTACATATGCCAAGTCAAGATCATCTTAGATTTACTGATTATGTATTTTATACTGTCAGAAGCTACAAAACACAGAAAATATTGACAGCCAAATTAGYTGGCTTAATATAAAAGAAATACAATAGATTATAGAATGAAACCAGAACCCTAACATTTACAAGTATTTTCAATAACCAAAAACTCCATGAAATTCCAAGTTGAGCACTTATTGCTCATTTGTTGTTTAAATAAACCACCCTCAACTTGATCTCTGATGTACAGCTGTAACACTGGTGCTATACAGCTGGACTAATAACCTTCAGTGTATGTTTCCACTGATGGAGAAGTGTTCATTTTCTTTTCCCCTTCTCATTTCCAGATTTTTTTAATGTAGCTTTTAACAACAGAAGTACCCCACCTCCCCCCAAAAAAMCCAAAAATAATTTGCTCTTATATACAATTTTAACACTATTTTGAGACTTGGTATATATTTCAGTATCAATAATCAACATTTCTTAGGCTATCGCACTTTCTGTGAAACACTAAGTCAAAGCTTTATTAATTTCTCTGAGACATAAAGGGAYTACTACTTGTTTTCCTTGGAAAGTGACAACACTGACAACCCACTAAAAGAAGAGAACAGTTTTTCCAGGCTAATTATAATATCCATTAYGGAAGGGATATCCTTTATTAATACTCTTTATTATGAGAATAAATACATAAAACAAATACAATATATTAGCCACATTTCTTCATATACATTCAGAATAGAACAAGAAGCTAATAGGCATAATCAGCAGAACTAGTTGAACAAACAGATTTTTAGTAAGCCAACAACACTAGAGGAAAGTTGGAATGTTTATACACCCGTAGCAGACAAAGAGCACGTGATTTCCGTATTTCCTTTGTATTAATCTTAAGACAAACATACTGTAGTTGTAAGCATGAACTGCACAAAATGACGGAAGTGTTTAGCTCCGTGCGGTGGCCGTTTGAGGTTGTTCTGACTGCAACTGCTTCCCCAGGTATTCCCTGAAATACAACAAAAAATTAGACTGAGAAATGTCCTGGAGAGTGGGGAGTGCGATAGCGTGGGAATTATGAATTAGATAAAGAAGAAATAGCTTAAAGCTCAGAATTATTCCTTCAAATAATGTCTACTGTCAATAATCAACTGGAGTGAAAATGAGGGTATCCRGCATCCATCATCTGTCCCTGCAAAAATAAAGTACAAACCAGACATCCACAAYGCTGTCTAGAAAAGAAAAGAACCCAATGGGAACATTTAGAAGCCCTGACAAGTGATGGAGAACACCATGAAGCACATAGATTTTGCCTGCTGAATACAYATTTTCGAAGCTGTGGCAAAACATTTGACAGTACCCCTTCCTGTAACCCAGCTGCAGGAGCACAAGTAACACCAAGTATGCCARTATGTCTACTGGCAATACAACCCAATACAACCAATGCTGTTACTGGCAAGTAAAACAGACACTGACTCAATAACTAATATTCAAGTTGAGAAAAAGAAGAGATAAACAATCAGCATGCACTGCATACCAATACTTTYTTTAAAGTGTTTTCCTCACCTGCATTTTGAAATGCACTAAGCCCCTTACTTTCTATTTCTCCTCTTAACACTGGAACACTCCCCAGATTACCAGCACTTGCCCTGAGCAGCACTATCTAAATTCCATGGAAAAATACTGCACAGTTCTTMCGAATTTTTCAATCCTTCATTCTCCTGTGAAAGCAGATCAACATTTCACAGAACCACAAAAAGCTGAAAGAGGTCTTTAATAATAGTACACGGGTTGCTGCTTGTCAGAGAAAATACAATAATTGTACCACTGTATCCGGTGAAAGGAAGGTTTCAGGACTCGTGAAATGTAGGCGTTCTTTTTCTACTGCTGATCATACACTTAGYACCGTGCCTTCCCACTAAACAGATACTTCAACCTACACAGGTTAAGCACTAGAAGCATCTCAGAGGGATGATATTCAGAAAGAAGTCTCAAAAAAACCCCACCTAACTCAAGAGTATGTGCTTTTGTTTTATTWAAAAAAAAAMATTTAAAAGATTGGGTCTTCTGCACATCATAAAAACTCATTTTCAGCTCAGTGTCCTGTTGAACAGTTTCCCTTATGCATTGCAATTCCTATTGCACAACAAAGTTTAGCACCTCAACTGCACCACCCAACCCCACTTTTCTCAGTTTTTACATTAAGCATCCAGAAAAGCATAAATTCCTATAAAACATTAATTTCAAACACCACTAGCAAAGAAAATAACAATTTGTATGCTGAACCATGTGTTATGATTTAGCACCTTCATTTACAGCTTCAACAGGAGCTGTTGTAGAATCACAGTATTTTAATGTTTGGGCTCCTTTTTAATAGATAAAATTCTTGTTCATAACAGGCAGGTTACCACCCTGAAAGTAGAGACTCCTGATGGCAAAGAAGAAAATAAACTRCTCTCTTGAGGTTTTGCAGGACTCAAAATTGTACCACCAAAACAAAATTTGACAGTCATCCAAAAACACAGCCAGCAGCTACATAAGAGCTTCCACACTAACCAAATCTCCTTCTGCTCCTTCAAAATTTTGGTGGTTTTTTTCATTTGTTTCATGCCTATATGAATGTACTGACTCTAGTATTTCTTTGACATCCAGCCCTGAGAGCAACTGACACTTGCTGCATACGTGACCCCACTCGCATTAAAAGCCCACAACATTATTTATTCTTAAAGCACAGATGAACCATATTGAATGTAGAATTCCCACACCATTACTTAGAAGTAGGAAAATCAATCAAGCTAATAATCTGTAACACTACAACTATTGCAAWGCTTACACTGTTTCAGATGCATGACCAAAGCTTACAAAAAATCCCAACAGAGTGCAGCATAAAGCCCACTAGAGTGCAGCATAAATCTCCAAGAAGGCAGAGCAGAAGCACATTTAGTAGGCACTCAGTGCCTTCATAGATGTATGTGCCTCCACAGATACACTCAACTTCTACAGTAGGTAGAACAGTATCTTCCCTACAAAACCTTTTGTAGGTGTGAGGTTTAAGTCCAGGGTCAAGGAAAAGGTCTTATCCCATTTCCCCCTACAGAATGAGCATCTGCAGTAACATCTCTACATTGTCATGCTGCAAGCACCAGTGAAAATCCCCATGTTCCCATCACCTTTTTAGCCACCATCAAGGGCCACTAAAATGAAAAGAACCTTGCATCACCAGATGTTAGAAGGACAAGTTAATTTTCTGTTTGGTTATCGCTTCTATTTGTCATCAGTTAACCCAGGATAACTTCTTACACAGTCTAGACCAGATGAACATGGAACCATAAAATGTTTTGGGTGGGAAGGGACCTTAGAGATCTTCTGTTCCAAACCCTCTGCCATGGGCAGGGACACCTTCCACTAGACCAGGTTGCTCAGAGCTCCATGCAGCCTGCCCTGGACACTCCCCCAAGGATGGGACACCCACTTCTCCAGGAAACATGTCCCAATTTCTCACCACCTTCACATGAAATAWTTTCTTTCTGCTATCTAATCTAAATCAGCCCTGTTTCATTTTACAGCCACCACCCCTTGGCCTATCACTACATGGCCTTGTGAGAAGTCCTTCTCCAGCCTTCCTGTAGGCCTCCTTTAGGTACTGTAAAGGTGCTCCAACATCTCCCCAGAGCCTTCTCTTGTCCAGGCATAACAACCCCAACTCAGAGCTTTTCCTCACAGGATAGGYGTTCCATCCCTCTATATCATCTTCATAGCTCTTCTCTGGACCTGCTCCAAAACATTACGTAGGACCCTGTTCCCTCTCTGCTAAAACACATACTAAAAGAATAAGAAGATTCACATATATTTTATAAACACTGGTATTTCTTCAAATTAGGAAGTTAAGCTCCAATATTCACACATAAATTGGACATAAGTGTCCATCCCCATGCTATCACAATTTAAGGGTCTAAGATTTTTCATTTAACCTGCACTGATACTCAGTTAAATCTTAATACTTAGTTAAATCTTAAAACTGGGATTTTGAAATTTCTGTTTACCTCACAAAATTAAAGCCATCTGTAAGAATTTAAGAATCTGCAAGCATTTAACACTATAAGAGCATTGAACTATAAGAGCATGTACAATGAAAGGATTGATCTTGTCACCAAGATAACAAATCATTTAATAAAATATTCAAAATAGCATCTGGGAGATTTCTGATGCACAYTACAATGGAAAGTAATGAGGTATTAAGCTTTTTTAATTGCAAGCTAGAAGCCCATGAATTACACCACTTCAAGATTTAAAAGTTTTAAACCATTTTCCTTACCCTGTAACAGAAAGGCCTTTACAAAAAGGTCAGATTTAGCCACCTTCTCAGTTCCTTCAACATAAACCCATCCTTATTAAAAGTAGAAGAAGCTAGTGCAAACAAGTTTGCATTTACAGATAACAGCATTCAAACGTGAAACAATTGATTCAGTATAAATTTGTAAGAACAAAAAAATGTTACATCTGCATTGCAGAAAAGCTTCAAACATGCAACTGTACTACATCACTTTTGAGACTATCTACCTTTCAGTTCTCAATTAAGGCTCAGATCAACATGAAACATCACACATTTTCACTTCCCAGGTCACTCAAAAGTCTAACAGTGAAACRTAAGTAACTTCAGTTTGAAAACTATTCTTTTTATTCTTATTAGAATATCCAATGAGATTCCTTTCACACCAGAAATTTCCCCTTTTTTGAACACGCATTTTCTGCTGTTTTCAAAGAGCTTTTTCCAAGAAGAAAAGGAATTTTAGGGGTGAATACATGAATACATTTTATCTTAAATTCTTATTCCAGTTTGTCTCTTYATTTTGTTTCATTTAATCAGTTTTGTTTCTCATGAGAGACACTGCTACCTTGAAGCTCAGATATACTTAAATGTCATAATTGCAATAAATGCTTAAGGTTTATTTAGGAAAAGGCACATGGAATTGATCCAGTGTGTAAGCCTCTAAACTCAGTGAGTATGGAATAARCAGATAATTGCAAACTGGCACAAGGCACTATCTACAAATTTTATACYAATATATACCATATACTAAAAGACCATTGTAAACAACAATCTATGATAGAAAGGGAAAATTATAAGATACATACAACAGATCCCTAGAAGCCATGTGTTAAAAAGAACAAGCCTTGAAATTTAAGTAGTACTACTTTTAGTGTTATAATCCAAATTCTGGTGCAGTCAGATTTACTCATCCTTTAAAGAACACTGAAAAMTACTCTTTTAACAGGCAAAGGAAGAAAAATAGATGAAGCACAAAGGAAAGGAAGGGTGACATTTCAATATTTTCTCTTTTCTAACATTTATTTCAACTCTTGCTTCCTGTTTATTAAAGAACCAAGTTATCTGAAGATATTTGGTAGTCTTGAATAACTGCAATTTCTAGCTCTAGGTTTAGCAGACTGACATTCCCAGGAGACAGAATATCTTTCTTTGACAAAAACCCAAATCAAAATATTGGTTTTATTTTTCTCTATCTAAACATAAGCTTAGAGTCTCCCCTACTTTTGAAAATAAAATTGAAAAGCCAGTTYTAAATAAATCCTTCCCTTTATGAAAGAGTACAGAAGTTTAATAAAGCTTTGGCAAAAAGTCTGTCATTTAACACATTAAAAGACATAGACAACATACACTGTTTACAGACAAATCATAAAGACATGACAAACAGACAAACAAATTCACAGGGCAGGCAGTTGATAGAATAGTTTGAATAAACTGATCAGTTTTGCCAGCTCCATATGACATTTCTGCTAGATTTCTAATAACCTGGAGAGGTTGTTAGACTGCAGAGAAAGATGGACCAGTTTCAGTAATAKATATTGTGGCTTTACAAATAGGCAATGTCATATGTGTCATATATCACATATATGTCAAATGTGYCAAATGTGTCACATATCACGTGTGTCATGTGTCATGTGAGTAATATATCGCATATATGTCATATGTGTCACATATCACATGTA